CATCCTTCTCCCCTTCAGCCAGTCACAGTTCTGCTGTGACAGCATCTATCTGGTATGTTCTGATGTGTCTCCCTCAACATAAGGCCTTGTTCCAAGACATGCCATTGAAATGCATTGGCTTTTGTTATTGTTGTTCTCTCTTTCTTTTAAAAATTATCTTTTATTTCTCTTCTGAACTTTATTTAGAAAAATCTTTTAATGCTAATGTTAAAGCATTAATGATTTTAATGATTTATTTATTTTTATTTTTATTTTATTTTATTTTTTTGTTTGTTTGCTTTCTTTTGTTTTTAGAATAAGGGAAGGGTAGAATATCCCCAACTCAAGAAAACTAAAATCCTTAAACTGTGTCTGGATTATTTAACACCATACTTCTATTGTTTGAAGCAATTCTTTCCACACTCCACAATTCCTTTACCCCAAAGCAAAGAAAGTAACACTGGTTCCTTTATTCAAACATGGTAAAGGAAGGAGACAGTAGCAAATTGGCTAAATATAATATTTATTTGTAGTTTATATTTTTGAAAATACAACATCCACTTTACCAATGGAGAGCTATACTCTCTGAATTTAGCCATCTTTTGAACTGCTACTTGGAATTTCTTCAAAATAGCTTTGCTAGGTAATAAATAAAAGAAGTCTACAAGACCAGCATCCCCACTTAACAACTGCCCAGTAGGACAACTCCAGTCTCAGGCACCACATCCCAGACCTATGATCTCAACTTCATCCTCACTCTCACTGTCACATCACCATCCTTGACAGATGCAACTTGTACTCCTCCCTGTCTACAATTTAATGGTTAAGTGGCACTGGAAAAGTCTTTTATGACCATTTTTGGTTAACATTTTGGTTTTATTTTTTCTTATTAAAAGTCAGTAGACTTCAAGTACTTTTTGTATTTATAAGTTTATGTTTATATATATTTATTTATTTAAATATATTTATATATATTTATTTTCATTAACCAAGTTCTTTTCTACATTAAATGTAATTTTTGTGATAGAGACCAGATCTACTTCAGTACAGATGTTCTTTTAGACCCTAGACATTCCATCATATTTTAATGTAACAAAAAAATATGCAAAAAATATATGCCTTAAATTATGCATGTACAACACACATCTGCTTCTCAGCCTTTCCTAGCTTATAATTGCAGCATGATTAACATATAACCATCAAATACATTTTTTTCTTTCTTGGGATTGCCAAAGAAAAAAACGTATTTTATGACTTGTGGTTACTGTTATTTATTCTTCCTTGAGTTTCATCTTCCCTCAACTGTGCAATGGGAATATTATTAAGTCCAGGGTATTTTTTTGTAGTGATTAAACACAGAAAGGGTTGTAAAATGCTCAGTGTGTGCAAATAGTCCCTTAATCTAAATAATAGAGGATATGCAGACAGAACTTCACTACTGGAGTTTCTGGTCCTTTTTTTAGGTATGCCCATTGAACTTTTTATTTACATTATTTTAAACTTATACTAGGAGCAAGCGTCGTGCTGTTGAGTGCTGGTTTGTCAAACGTTTATAAAAAGTTTAGCTTTTTTAATCTGAAGCTTTTAAAATCTGTTATAAAGGAAATGCCAATTATGGAAACAGTCATGCGTCATGCTATGGGTAATCAAATAACTTTGCTGACGTTTGGACTAGGCATTTCACTGAGGCACTTTGCTAACATGTGGAGACCAACTTGGGCCTCCTCAGAACAACTCAGGCCTTGAGAACAGCCAATCAGGAGAGCGCGTTGCCACCACACCCACCTGTCCACTGCTTGTCCACTGATTGGAGCCAACTGTCTCCTTTTTTACCAGGCTGAATTGCTATGAGTTCATTCTTCCTGGAAATCTCTGCAACTCTTGTAGACATGCAGCATAACAGCACAGGCAGCTCCAAATCTGGTGTCATGTTTATTTTATTTTATTTTATTTTATTATTTTATTTACTTATTTTTTTTAAAGTATAGATTGAGAGGTGAAAGCACTTCATTTATTTATTCTTTCCTTTTTATTTTTTTTCCTTCCCCTCCCCCATGGTCTTCTGGTAAGTTTCTCAGGATCCACATAAGAGTGAAAACATATGGTATCTGTCTTTCTCTGTATGACTTATTTCGCTTTAAAGGTAAATTTATGGAGGGCATGTTATTGTTCCTAGGAAAAGAGAAATATTGAGCATCCCAGGAAAGATATTCTAAAGGCAGTTCACAGTTACCAGATGGATAGCATAAGCGTGCATCTGAAGATGAGGTACAAGAGTTCAATTACAATGCAATTCCCTTTTAAGTTTCTAACCACCCCCCCACCCTCAACACACACACACACACACACACACATGCCTAAAGGACTTCATCAGTAATTCACCTTCTCTCTGAAACTGATAGTCATACTTACTGACTCAGGCAGCTTCTGCAGAGTGCCAAAAACCAAATTGAATGGGTAAAAAAAAAAAAAAAAAAGTT